AGTTTATAAGTTGCGGAAATTAAATTGCGGAAATTAAATTGCGGAAATTAAACTAACTATTACAATGCGTCGGATATTTACATCGCCAAAAGCAACCCTTGAAATTAGAATGCGGAAAATAAATAAAGCGGTAAAAATAGTAAAGTCCTATTAAGCTATTACATTCCGGAAACAGATACAGTATTGAATAAAATGGATCGCGTGCGAGAATTAAATCGGGCGTAAGTTCTAGGGTTTTGACCCTTTAATATTCAAGAAAAGATTTTTTTGGCTATTTTGAATTTATGGAAGAAATTAAATTGGATTAATTATTAAATTAATAAATAAATTAATTAATAAAAATATTTTTGGGTTTTTTGATATTTAAAGAAATAAAAATAAATTTAATCAATGTTAAGAAAACCTAATTGTCTAAGTTAATTTTAATTATTGCAAAATATATTAAAAGTTATTCCTAATTAGAACTAAATTAATTAAATTAATATTTATTAACAAAATAAAATACTGAAATTTAATTTAATAAACAAAATATATTTTTTTTGGTTTTTAATTTTATGAGGAAAAAAGATTTGATTGGTTGGTTAATAATTAAAGATAATAACAATAAATAATTAAAAGAAATAAATAATAAAAGAAAAGAGAAAGGGTTAGAAGGTTTGGGCCTACTTGGGGGGTCTGATTAGCAGTTCAAAGGCCCAATAGGCGCTGGCCTTGCCTGACTTTTTGGATCCAGCGTGTGCATTTGACTAGGGAGTATGGTGGACGTTCCATCTGGGCCATCAGATTTGGCCTGGGGTCACCTGTCCCTTGATTGAATGAGGGAGTATGATGCATCACGCGCTGGCATCAACACTGGATGACCTGAAGAGAAAAAATACAAAGCATGTGGGGGGACCTGGGATTCGAACCCAGGTCCTGTTGGTGACTGCCAGCTCCTCTTTCCACTAGGCCAACGCGTTTCTATTGTTAGTATATTCAATAATAATGATAATATGAGAAACAACATTAATATGCCAGAACAAAATAAAAATGCGCCAAGTATTTGAATGGGGCAATCAGATGGGGGCACGTGGTCGTCCCTGTCCTCAGGTCTGCAAGGAAATTACCTGCAGATTTAAATCCGCAGCTAAAAGCGTAGGTCGTTTCAAAAATCCATCTCAGGCCATATAAACTCCATCCAAGGCCATGGTTGTGCTTGTCTTTCTCCTCCGGTCATGCCTATGTCCATCAATAGGTCTAATTTTACCTGTAACAAAAACCCCTAAAAAAACCTAGGAAACCCTACAATGGTGTTTTGCACCACAGAGCAGATAAACACAATCAAATAATATGCAAAGCTTGGAAATTATCTAGTGATTGCAAATATACCATTGGTTTCTTGTAATGATGCATAGATTTTGAAACACGAAATCAAATTCAGAGGGGGGCCGCGTATCACTTACAGTGCGTTTGAGGGCGTGTGAGAGCTTGCTAGCGGTTGGTTCTGACTCAGGGATGGTCCAACAATTGATTAGTGTGGAGTTTTGCTTCTGAATTTGCCTCCAAGGATGATTTCAGTTTTGCACTTTTTTGTCAATTTTTCAAGTTTGGTTCTTGGTGTTCTTGCAGCCTCTAGGTCTGGATTTCGTGCCTTTGCCTTGTATATGTATGATGGAGTGTATTAGGTCAACTTTTGTGGACTGAATCCTTGCACATTGATGCCTTGAGATTGGATTTGATTCACCATTGGTAACTTGCCTAATTTGCCAAAAATCCAATCTTTTTGCACATGGAATGCTTGATACGAGTTTGAACATGACATTGATGATGATTAGGTCCTGAAAATAGAAAAAAAATCTCATGTAATCAAGTTTTGGGATTTTATTTGATTTAAATTGATTTAAAATAAAATAATTCAATAAAAAAATCAAATAAAATAGAAAAATTGATAAATTGACACAAGGCTGAAGCTAGGACACGTGTGAAATATGGCAAGATCAAATCAAGTGGAAAAGAATGGGCCCCTTTGATAAAATTTGAAGTTTTGGGGATAGTTGACTTTTGGCAAATTTGGAAAAATGCCCCACTTCAACAATGCATAAATTCTTCAATTTTGCACTTTTGAAGGTGTTCTTGGACTTTTTAGAAATCTTGAGATGTCATCTAACCAACCCTTTTGGTCCCATCTCATTTTTATATTCCATGCTCAAGTTATAAGCTTTTGAAAAAAAGGTGTTTTTGTTGACTTTCAAAAATGACCTATAATGTCCAAATTTGTAACTTCTTGTGAGTGAATTTTCTGATCTTGGGGTATGAAGATGGATTGTAGGAAATTGCATTCTCTTCAAAATGAGATTTGGATGGGTAATTTCTCATAACGTATGAGAAAGTTATGCTTGGTCAAAGTTGAGTTGACTTTTCCTACAAAATCCTAATTTAGCAACTTTTGAGTCTTGATGAATTTTGAGCAATCCTTGATGAATCATGATCAACCCTTGATCAAATGATGAAATATACTTAAAAATGAGAATGTTGACAAAAAATCTTGAGGTCTGACTGTATTTGGGTCACTGTTGACTTTTGCCCCAGCATAGTCAATTTTTGGACCCCTTGAGCAATTGACTGAGCAAACTTCCTCTGCAAGGCTTGAAATTTGGCATGGATGATATTGATAACATATTAGGACATTGGGGAGCACTTGAGGTCATTTGAATGCAAGGACCTTGATGCAACACAAAACCCTAATTTGGAGTTGACTGCCTTAGGAGATAGCTTGACTGTCCAACTTTTGAGCAATCTTGAGCCACTTGGAGATTTTTCTTGCAATGTTTTGAGAAATATGAGAGAGCAAATTTTGGGGTACAACACTAAGTATGTGTTATTTTGAAGTTGCTGTAATTATGGGACAAAGATGTTATTATAATTCTGCTGCGTAGATGTTCAAGTTGTTGAATTAAGAGATTAAATTATTATGTTGATGGTTCATCCAAAGTTTTAAAGTGTTATGTATCCACGTTGAATGCAATATGTTTTTAAGCTGAATTTGTGGCATCCTGATTCAGTTTTATGAATTTTAAAACTCTGATTTACATTCTTAATTGTCGGGTACAATTGGGGTGTTACAGTGAGCTTGGGTTTTAAAACCAAATATTCAATTCTTTTGAATATTTCCATAAAAACAGGTCAAAATAAAATCCATGCATTTTGAAAAATATTCCTCCATATTTTTCGTTGCCTGTGAGTTACAAATCTTGAATTATGGGACGCTGGAAAACAGGAAACAGAAAAACAAATATTGATGTTGGCTGAGATCAGTTCAGGAGGCAGATGTCAAGACCTCTGCTTTGATATCATACAACACAGTTTTGCTCCAAATATTAATACATTTAGCAAAACATTATTAAGACATTGTTTTACCAAAATTGTTGCCAACAAACACTTACACGTAGAAAAACTACATAATAAAGGGAATACTTATGTCATGAATAATATTCATCAACAACATCTTTAGGTTTTTGTCTTCTATAATTGTATGCAACAACAATATGCCAACATTAAATAGCAACTAAATCCTAAAAATTAAAGCTACATGATCTTTTGGCAATATCAATAAAATTATTGTGTGTTGAAGAATGTGTAAACTGGATTTCTTTAGCAATAGACCAAGTCGGTGTCCAATGACCACTATTAAATACCTCCCTATCTAATCTCATCTCATACATTGACATAACTCTATGTTGCCACTTCTTAAATTTAGTATTGACAATTCACGAATTACATCTCTAAAATAAACTAGAGAATTAAATTCTATACTCCTCTTAAACTGGTAGTCTTTATTAAATTGCTCTTTCCCGAGCTTTTCAAGCTTAGACCCTTTACCATTATCATCATCATGTTCATCTGGATTTGAGTTGGCCATTTCATCACTAACATATTAATCATCTTCAATTTTCCTTTTGGAACTACAAATTAATCCCACAACTAAGTTATATTCATTTAAGAGTCGGTTAAAATTAAATTCATTTGTGAGAGTTATAGTTCTCTCATCATCACTATTATCAAAGCCTTCAACACCCTTATCATCAACTGCTTTTCATGTCTATCATCTCATTAATGAACTGAGATTCCCTTACTTTCAGTTTTTTATCAGTCACTTCATGTTCTAGATAAATGTAGCCATCAACTTGATTTAAACAAGCATATACATCAATATCACATGCATCATCATTGTTTCTTAACTGATTTTTTCCCATCTATTTCAACAATTTTAGTCCAAGTCCTATAGCTTCCTTCTTTATAACACCATCCCTTCAGCAATTTAAGAACTTCAAATATAGCACATTTCTCAATATTTTGCCCATAAACTAGGGCTTGAACCCCACCTCTGTAGAATAAGTCGTTCTCATTATCCCTTACAAATTCACATCCATAATGAAAAACAACATTAAAGACGTGCATGTTCTGTCAAAGTAATTTGCATATTCAACATTACAACATTACAATCACTACATAAACAAAATTTGAAAAAGCTTACATGGGACATTGGATAAGGACGATTTCAACTGGTGTGCTTCAATAAAAACTTGATAGGACATTGAATAGCGCCTTCCTTCTTGGTGCTTTGTGGACAAACTTTAAATTTTAATATTAAAAAGAATTAGTTTATATTAAAAAAATAGAATAATAGTAGAAATGAAAGGTTTTAGTTTAAGAATGTGGTAGTGTGTTGGTTGTAATTATAAGTAGAAGGGCGCACGTGGGCGTTTAGTGTGTATGCAAGATGTTGAATATTGTTGTTTGGTAATGATTTGAATGGTTGTAATTGTATTTCTCTAAATCGGTACATCTTGGGCTTGGGATTCAGTTTTTATTAATCGTTTGAAAAGAAAAGAAGAATAACAGAAATTAGTTAATAACATACCGCGTTATTGTTATGGTAAAGTAATGATGATTTAATTGAGGAATATGGTTTCGTTGCATTACCCTTTTTCTGATGCTTTTGAATTGAATAACAAAATCAAATGTCTACCCTTGTCGTACCACCTGTTCCTTGTACCCCAAAAGACGATGCCATGCAACTTCACCGTGCTTTCAAAGGTATTCAATACAATACAATTCTATTTCATTCATTCCACCTTTCTTTTCCAATATACAATTCTAAATCATTTCATAGGCTTTAGGTGTGATACTAGTTCTGTCATCAATATACTTGCTCATAGGGATGCTACTCAGCGTGCCTATCTCCAACATGAATACACATCATTGTATTCTCAGGACCTTCTCAAAAGGATTTCTTCCAAGCTTTCTGGCAGGTTGGAGAATGCAATTCTACTTTGGATGCATTGCCCTGCTGGACGTGATGCACTCATTCTTAAACAGACTCTAACCGTCAATAAAAATCTTGAAGCTGCCACTGAAGTTATATGTTCCAGAACTCCATCCCAACTCCAATATTTAAGGCATATTTACTATGCTAAATTTGGCGTTTATCTTGAACAAGACATTGAAAGAAATACCTCTCGCGATCATAAAAAGGTTTAACTTCTTTCCTACCACTTGCATAACTCTTTTGATTTGTCATAGATTAGCTGTTCTTAATAAGCTTATGCAAAAATATTGTCCAGATTCTACTAGCATATGTGAGCACACCACGCCATGAAGGCCCTGAGGTTGATAAAGAAATGGCTGAGAATGATGCGCTGGTTCTGTATAAAGCAGGTGAGAGGAGACTAGGAACGGATGAGAAAACTTTTGTGCGAATAATCAGTGAACGGAGTGCGGCACAGTTGGCTGCCATAAATCAGTTTTATCGTAGCAACTATGGACATTCACTGAAAAAGGTATTCTAACCCCCTATTTTATACCTTAAGCATATCAAGGTATTTTTCCGGTGCTTATCCATGCTGAATTCATAACAGGCAATAAAGAAAGAAACATCAGGTTATTTTGGTCGTGCACTTTTTACAATAGTTCAATGTGCCGATAATAGAGCTAAGTATTTCGCAAAGGTATTCATTCCCTCTAAACAAAAACAATTTGCATAAGATGCATGTGTTAGACTTAATGTTAAAATAGTTTCTTGGAGACAAAATATGTTCACTGAAAGATCTCTTAGTGTCGTTAGCATTAAATTATGTGGTTTTTGTTTCTGTTGAAGCATAGAGGGAACCTTTTAAAATTTCTTTAGTTTTGCTATACTGTGTATGCAGGTCCTACGTAGAGCAATGAAAGGTTTAGGGACCGATGACAAGAAACTTACGAGGGTGATTGTAACAAGGAGTGAGATTGATCTACGTTATATCAAAGAGGAATATTTAAAGAAATACAAGAAGACACTAAATGATGCAGTTCACTCGGAAACATCCGGCCACTACAGGGTGTTTCTGCTCTCACTTTTAGGTCCCAACCAATAGTAGTCAAAATGCATGTTTTGTGTGGATATATAAGCATAAGCACTTCCAATCTTTTCTTTACTGATATTGTAAATTAGGCGGTGTTTGGTGATTTTATTTGCTTGTAACTTGTACCATAATGCCATATCGACGAGCACTTTGTATATAAGTAAGTATCTCTCAGTGTTGTAGATTTTTTGTTTCTAGTTTTTTGGGATTGATGATCAATTACAGCTCCACAATTAGCTAAGCCACCTCAGATTAATATTTAAGGTTGTAGTAACAATACATTTGATGATACGAATATTTATAATAAAATATGTTTTGTTTAAGAGAGGCTCAGAATATTCCTGAGTAGATAGAGTATATTTTATGGTTGTTTGTTCCACATGTAGAGTGTGGCATATTAGTAATTCAATTGCGTATTTGAAATTGTAACTTGATCAGTCAATAATTGTTGTTTAACACAACACAACAGAATACTCTATATCAATCAATTGTGGTCCATGCAGTTGATTTTCGGACAAAATCCCATCACAGTATTTTCAAATTAATTTTTTCTATTTCTCTTCCTGGTTGAATATTGGTTTCTGTCATAAAGGTTATAAAAATATATGATATGAATGCAAAATATTTTAAATTATATTAAATTTTTTTGACAGCTCTGTTAAATTAGTAGTACTAGACACTGTGATGTTGAGTTGTTGAGGAGAATATTGGTAGTGGTGTACATCTGTTATCCTTTCTTACATATATTTGTTATTAAGACAACAAGTTAGGTCACTTGTTTCTCTGTTCTATTTTGAGACAACAAGTTAGGTCACTTGTTTCTCTGTTCTATTTTGAGACAACAAGACATCCATCCATCCTTTTTCTTAGTTTGGGTTCAGCTGAATTCCTATTAAGCTTTAATGTTATTTTTTGGGGTGGAATGAATTCAGCAACAAGCAAATGAAGTTGTGAATTAAGATGGGCAACCTGCAAGAAATAAGAAACAAGTACGTTATCACTTTCTCACATTGCTTCAGTTATATATACTCCTACTATTGTATTGTGTTGCATTACGTAGCTAGCAAGGTATATTATTATATTGTCTTGTTTCTAAACTCAAGTAACAAGTTGCAAGGAAGGTGCCTGGCATGGGACCCACTGACACCCCATTGTTTGTTTGCGTCCACATACCTACAACCTAACTCAATTTACTTGGATCCTACAATACAAATACACTTATATCATGTTATCCAACTCAGCTCTCTCTCTATATATATATATAATTAGTGTTCTGTCTGTTATTAGTACTGCACACAAACACAACATAACATGGGTGGTTTAGGAGGAACAACAAGCCTAAGCCTCTTCTGGCTACGGATTCCTGCATTCATCAGTGTTATTGTTGCTGTAAGTGTAGCATCAGCTGAGCTCCAACACTTTGACCACCCTTCTGTCAAAGCAGATGGATCTCTCAGCTTCCTTGTCATTGGAGACTGGGGAAGGAGAGGAACTTACAATCAGTCTCAAGTTGCTTTTCAGGTATCTTTCTCTTTTGTTTATGTTTTATGCATTCCACTCTTAACCTGTTACTTAAAACTTTTTAGATGGGAAGAGTTGCTGACAAATTAAACATTGACTTTGTGGTATCAACCGGAGATAACTTCTATGACGATGGATTGACTGGTATACATGACCCTGCATTTCAATATTCCTTCTCAGATATCTACACTGCCAACAGCCTTCAAAAGCAATGGTATAATGGTCCGTGAGTAGCTTCTGACTCTGCCAGCAAGAAATACATACATATATTCATTCACTCTTATGTTGAGACATCTAATGGTATCCATCTGTATGATCTGTTTGCTTTAGTCTTGGGCAACCATGACTATAGGGGGGATGTTGAAGCTCAATTAAATCCAATTCTTCAGACTATTGACCATAGATGGTTTTGCCAAAGATCTTTTATCGTTCACAATGGTAGTAATTCATTCATCTAACTTGTCAATTCAATAATATGTTCCTGTCTCTGCATAATCATTAATTAACACTTGTTCAAATCTCAAAACTTGCTAGAAATCGCCGAGTTCTTCTTTGTGGATACAACTCCTTTTGTGGACAAGTACTTTTTGAAGCCAGAGGATCACAAGTATGATTGGAGAGGTGTGCTTCCTAGGAAAAAATATTTATCAAACCTCTTGAAGGTAAGTCTCCTCATCCCAGAAATTGTAAAGATAAAAGGAGATCTATTAATCTGTTTTTTGTGTGTGTTTAATTCTAAACAAAGGATCTGGAAACAGCATTAAGGGATTCGAGTGCCAAGTGGAAGATTGTTGTGGGACATCATCCTGTACGAAGCATAGGGCACCATGGCGACACCAAAGAGCTCTTAACACACCTCCTACCGATCCTTGAGGTTAGTGCTGCTCATTATATATTGCTTAGCTTGCACTCAAACTAAGAAAACACTGTCCTAGTTATTCTAGAGATAAGTTATATCATCCTTAATTGACAGATTAAAATCTCTCATTTTAAAATGATATTTGCAGGCCAACAGTGTTGATATGTACATCAATGGGCACGACCATTGCTTGGAACACATAAGTAGCACCAGCAGGTCTGTGTATTAATTTAATTTAACTTGGGTTTGTTTGTTTATTGAACCACCAAATCACCTTGATGAAATTGAGTGGTTTTGCAGCCAAATAGAGTTCTTAACTAGTGGTGGAGGTTCAAAGGCATGGAAAGGGGACTTTGATAAAAATGGGGGATATGGAGTCAAATTTTACTACGATGGCCAAGGATTTATGTCTGTTGAACTTGACAAAATGAATGCCAAAGTTGTCTATTATGATGTTTTTGGCAAAGTGTTGCATGTGGTGAATCTGTCCAAGGGGTTGCATTATGCAATATAAGTTAGGCTGTCGAAACTGCATCTACATATTCTAAGGAGGGTCCTAATCTAAATAAGTTGGAGATATTTGTGAAATCAGGCCGTTTTAAGAATGATATTAACAAGCTTATTACATGATGCAAATAATTCAGTTTAGTTAGTTTTGGTGATTTGTTACTTAACAGTATATATAGTACTGTCTTGTACATTTCAAAAGCATAATAATTCAATGAGCTTATTCCAAAATTAACATGGTATCTGTTTGAAAATTCCTTTTCGCACCTCCCTTTTCTTTCCTTTCATCTTCTTTGCGCCTTCTCCTTCTTCTTCGCGTCTTCGCCTCTTCCTTTTCCTTTGAATGCTTCAGCATTGACTATGGCGCTTCCTTACTCCGATTTCGCTACAAACCCTTTCAATCCTTATTATATGCATTCTAACCAAAATCCCTCTCTTGTTCTTGTTCAACCAGTTCTTGATACCAAGAACTACCAAATCTGGTCTAGATCGATGAAAGTGGCTCTTATCTCCAAGAACAAGATCAAGTTCGTTGATGGCACTCTTTCTCCTCCGCCTATCTCCGACTCTCTATACGAACCTTGGCTGCGATGCAACAATCTCGTCCTCTCATGGCTTCAACGCTCGATTTCTGAGGAAATTGCAAAATCTCTTCTCTGGTATGATCGTGCTTCTCTTGTATGGAAAAGTTTGGAAAATCGTTTTTCTCAGGGAGACATTTTTCGCATTGCTGACATTCAAGAAACTGTTGCTCGTCTTCAACAAGGAACTCTCGATATCTCTTCGTTCTTCACGAAATTGATGACGCTTTGGGAAGAAATCGAGAACTTCCGGCCAATTCGTGATTGTACTTGCGCTATACCGTGCTCCTGTGGTGCTGCTTCAGACTTACGCAAATTCAAAGAACAAGATAAAGTTATCAAGTTCTTGAAGGGCCTTGGTGACCAATACGCTCATGTTCGCTCGCAGATTATGTTGATGACCCCACTACCAACTCTTGATAATGTGTTTAATCTGGTTCTTCAACAAGAACGTCAATTCGACCTTCTTTCACCTTCTGCTTCTTCAATTGAATCTCAATCATCTGTGAATCACCTTTCTCAAGCACCTTCTCGTTCTTCTCACAACCCTGGTCGTGGTCGTGGCCGTGGTGGCCGTGGAAACCGACTCTGTACTCATTGCAACCGCACCAATCACACCATTGAGACTTGTTTCATGAAACATGGCTATCCCCCTGGATTTCAACAACGCAAGCCTACTACATCTGTGGGGAATTCTGTTGATTCTACAGTGAACTCGATTTAAGATGCTGCTTCTCCTCAACTTGAGGCATTATCTTCCTCTGCTTCCACATCAAACACCAGTCCAAGTGCTTTGTCTACGATTCAAGAGCAACACACTCAGATTCTGCAGCTCCTCCAACAGTCTAATTTGCAATCTCCTTCACCTTCCTCGATTAATTCAGTTTATACTGCTAATTCTCTGTCCCATACCTCTCCTCATACTTCCTCTGGTAAGAATTCCTCAAATCTTCCTTGTCATAACTGGTGGATCATTGACACAGGTGCCACTGATCACATCACCCATATCTTTGCCAGTTTCCTTTCCACATACCACATTGCACCTAAATCTATGACAATGCCTAATGGTGACTCTGTCACTACAACTATTGTTGGTTCAGTTTTACTATGTGATTCACTTGTCCTTCATAATGTTTATTACTTTCCTTCATTTCATGTCAATATTATCTTTGTCACCACTCTTTTTGACTCCACTTTATATGATGTGAAATTTTCCCCTAATTGCTGTCAAATTATGCAGTTGTCCCAATCCAAGATGACTGGATTTACAGCTAGGAGGATTGGCAAATTGTATGTTCTTGATGCCACCCCACCTAAGGCCATCTCTCCCACATCTGGCTCTGTCAACACCTCCTCTTCTCCCCAATTCGAACCTGCTAAACACGATCCTGCTACTATTTGGCATCTTAGGCTTGGACACTTAAGTCCTTACATACACAAATGTATTTCCTCTCAATTTCCTTTTGTCACCTACAATGACAATCATAAACCCTGTAATACTTGCCATTTGGCTAAGCAAAAACATTTGCCATTTGCTCACAGTAATACTAAGTCTGTTGCCATCTTTGATTTACTTCATGTCGATATTTGGGGCCCTCTTTCCACACCTTCCATATGTGGCCACAAGTATTTTTTAACCCTCGTAGACGATTACAGCAGGTTTACTTGGACAATTTTTATGGCCAACAAAAGTGAAACCAGAAACCATTTAATTCACTTCATATCTTTTATCGAAACTCAATTTAATAAGAAACTCAAGTGCATTCGTAGTGATAATGGTCCTGAGTTTCTCATGACCACTTTCTACCTTTCTAAACGAATCATTCAACAAAGGTCTTGTGTGGAAACGCCTCAACAGAACGGTATCGTGGAAAGAAAGCATCAGCACATTTTGAATGTTGCCCGTGCCCTCTCTTTCCACTCTCACCTCCCTCACAACCTTTGGCACCTTTCCATACAACAGGCCATTCATATTATAAACTGTCTTCCCATTCCTCTTTTAAACAACCACTCTCCCTACCAAAAACTCCATTCTACTCCTCCCAGCCTTAACCATATGAGAGTCTTTGGTTGTCTTGCCTATTCTTCGACCTTGCTTAACCATCGCACTAAATTCGAACCAAGAGCAAGGAAATCTATTTTTCTTGGCTACAGGGAAGGCACAAAAGGCTACCTTCTCTATGATCCTATCACACATGAATTTTACATTTCAAGGAATGTATTCTTTTATGAAACTGTGTTCCCTTTTGTATCCATCCCACCTGCACCTAATCCCATAATTCCTACTCCTGACCCTCCTCCCCTTGATTCACCTGATATTTTCACCAACATTCCACCCATCTCACCTCCACCATCAAATGAACCTTCCTCTCCTACCTCTCTCCCCTAGCCAGATTCTCCCACTAACCTCTCTTCTTCCTCAAATGACACTAACAACTCCCCTTGCCCCTCCCCTCCTGTGCCAACCAGAAAATCCAATCGAAATATTAAACCTCCAGCTTATCTATCTGATTATCACTACAATTTGCTATCCCCCATGCTGCCAGCATCTGACTCAGGTTCCTCTAACTACCCTCTCTCTTATGTATTATCTTATAGTCAATGTAGTCCTGATCACAAATTATTTTGTTTGTCCATAAGCTCTTTCACAGAACCCAAAACCTATAGACAAGCCTGCAAGTTCGATTGTTGGAACAATGCTATGAAATCTGAGTTAGATGCTCTTGAATCTACAAATACTTGGTCTGTTGTTGATTTGCCTGCAGGTAAACAATCGATTGGTTGCAAATGGGTCTACAAAATCAAGCATCATGCTGATGGATCCATCGAACGATACAAGGCCCGTTTGGTAGCAAAAGGATATACTCAGCTGGAGGGTGTGGATTATTTCGACACTTTCTCACCTGTTGCGAAACTTACTTCTATTCGAACCCTTCTCTCAGTGGCTGCCATTAAGAATTGGCACTTGGAACAACTCGGCGTCAACAATGCCTTCCTTCATGGTGATCTACATGAGGAAGTATATATGGATCTGCCTCCTGGATTCCTGCCCCCTGCTTCTTCAACCAACAAAGTTTGCAAATTGCATAAGTCATTATATGGCCTAAAGCAGGCTAGCAGACAGTGGTTTTCGAAATTGTCCACTGCCCTTATCTCTCTTGGCTACTCATATTCTTCTGCTGATCATTCTTTTTTCACAAAATCACATGACTCTTCTTTTACTGCCTTATTAGCCTATGTTGATGATATTGTCTTAGCCGGTAATGATTTGCAGGAAATCCAATATGTCAAATGCTTCCTTGATTCCACTTTCAAAATCAAGGACCTTGGTAGGCTAAAATATTTTCTTGGTCTAGAAGTTGCCAGATCAACTCACGGCATTTTTCTCAATCAGAGAAAGTACGCTTTGGAATTGCTCGAAGACAATGGCTTATTGGCTACTAAACCTTGCTCTACTCCCTTCGATTCCTCCTTGAAGCTTCACGATGATAACTCACCACCTTTCGAAGACGTCACAGCTTATCGAAGGCTTGTTGGAAAACTTCTATATCTGACTACCACCAGACCTGACCTTGCATTCATCGTTCAACAGCTCAGCCAATTCATCTCACATCCTATGCAAGTTCATCATTCTGCAACAATTCGAGTCCTCAAGTATCTCAAAGGTGCTCCAGCCAAGGATTTGTTCTATTCATCTTCCTCTCCACTCAAACTCTCTGGCTTCGCAGACTCAGATTGGGCAAGTTGCCCTGCTACCCGCAGATCTGTAACTGGATATTGTGTGTCCCTTGGCAATTCTCTCATATCCTGGAAATCCAAAAAGCAGTCTACAGTATCCAAGTCAAGTTCAGAAGCGGAATACAGGGCCTTGACAAGCTTGACTTGTGAATTGCAATGGCTGCAGTATTTGTTCAAGGATCTCCACATCTCCTTTGATCAACCTAGCTCAATCTATTGTGACAACAAAAGTGCTATCTACCTTGCTCACAACCCCATCTTCCATGAACGGACAAAACATATCGAAATTGACTGCCACGTCATTCGTGAGAAAATCCAAACTGGTCTCATCCACCTTTTACCAGTTTCTTCTGTTGCTCAATTGGCAGATGTTCTCACCAAGCCTTTGGCAGCTCCCTCTTTCGATTCTCTTGTTTCCAAGCTTGGTCTATTAGACATCCATAGTCCAGCTTGTGGGGGGCTATTACATGATGCAAATAATTCAGTTTAGTTAGTTTTGGTGATTTGTTACTTAACAGTATATATAGTACTGTCTTGTACATTCCAAAAGCATAATAATTCAATGAGCTTATTCCAAAATTAACAAAGCTTAGTAATGAATTATATATGCATATGTATATATTGTTTAAAGAAGACATAGAAGCCTCAATTGGCCGCATTGAAAAGTTCCATCCCAAAGATCCAGAGAATGCTTCTGCAATCAGTCTAAGGAGTGTAAGGACGTATGACACAGCTTGTATAGCCATTCCTGTTACTGATGCAGCTGAAGAGTGAACACTCTGGGATATAGTAGGATATTAGGATGTATGTATAGCATTTGTTCATTAGAACTGTGATTTCATCCAAAATTACTGTCAGATTACTTGACATGTTTTTTTGGCAATGCAGTCTTTTATATGAAACTAGCTAATCTAATGGTCCTGGAAGTCGTGTTACAGTATTGGTTGCAGTGTGACTTTTTTTTCTGTATCATCTACTTGTTTAATATCAGTTTAACAAATGTACATATGTATATGTATGTGTAGCATCAAGCCACTGAAAACCTCAGGTCTTTTACCCAAAACTAGCTATTTTTTTGGAAAAAAATTGTTCTCAACCAAATCAACTAGCTTTTATTATCAAATAGTGTAAAATAATTTCATAGCAAAGAAAAACTAAAATAACTAGTTTACAGTACATTTTTTAAGAAACTTCTGCAAGTTTTATAATGTGAAAAAGGGGAAGGTAGAATGAGGGGAAAAGGATATAGGGAATGGTGTTTTGCCTAAAAACAAGTAATGCAAGGGTACGAATATGGTATGATTTGTAGGGATACATTCACCGACCAATAATACTATCGATCTTGTATAAACTACAAACAGTGGCGGAGCCAGCGTCCGGCCAAGTAGGGCAGCTGCCCAGGCTCCGACTATCCATACTTCACCATCCGGCACCACCACCACTTCAAGATTCGACAACCAATCACCCCAAAACCAACTCCCAGAAGCAGAAGAAAGAGGTCAATTCCAAGTTACAGCACCTACGAACACCAGAAGTGAAGCTAGCTTAAATCGAAACCCTAGAAAAGGAGCTTGAGGGTTTGTTTGAGTACTACAAAGGGGTTTTGGGTAAGAAGGTTGTTGTTGACCTTAAGAAATGCGGTGGGTCGAGAAACACGGTTGTTGCAGCGTTGATGGAAGAGAGCGAGCTTCCGTTGTCGAAGCTTGTGGATGAGATTTATGGGAGGGTGAATATTGAGGTGGCAAATTGGAGAGTTATGTTGGCAGAAGGTTTTAACTTTGTGTTGGTGAAGAGTAGTGTGTTGTTTGTAGGTGAAGAGTATTGTGTTGTTTGTTGGGCAGAGGATGATGTATTGGCAATGTATTGTGTTTTGGGTGATGTTGTAGCTGCACGGTACGTGTTTGATGAAATTCCTAGCTTAAGTGCATTTTCTTGGAGTGTGATGATTTCTGGATATGCAAAAGTGGGTGATGTTGATTCAGCTAGGTTGTTCTTTGATGAAGCACCTGAGAAAGATAAAGGTATATGGGGTGCTATGATTTCTGGTTATGTACAAAACAGTTGCTTTAAAGAAAGTCTTTATTTGTTTCGATTGATGCAGCTTACGGATATAGTACCTGATGAATCTATATTTTTGAGCATTCTTTCTGCCTGTGCTCATCTTGGAGCTTCAGATATTGGTGTGTGGATTCATCGACATTTGAAACAATCGAAGCTTGTTCCGTTCAGTGTTCCTTTAATTACTAGTTTATTAGACATGTATGCTAAATGTGGGGATTTGGAAACGGCAAAAAGATTATTCAAATCAATGCAAGAGAGAGACATTGTATGTTGGAATGCTATGATTTCTAGTTTGGCAATGCATGGAGATGGGAAAGGTGCACTCCAACTGTTTTATGATATGGAAAAAGTTGGGATGAAACCTGATGATATAACATTTATTGCTGTTTTTACTGCTTGTAGTTACTCAGGAATGGCACATGGAGGTTTGAAGTTGTTGGATAGAATGCTAAGTGTTCACAACATTGAGCCAAAAAGTGAACATTATGGTTGTTTAGTTGATTTACTTAGTAGAGCAGGGCTTTTTGAAGAAGCAATGGTTATAATAAGAAAAATTACCAAATCTTTGAATGGCTCTGAAGTGACATTGGCTTGGAGAGCATTCCTGAGTGCATGTTGTAACCATGGAGAAACTCAACTAGCTGAACTTGCTGCTGAAATTGCGGTTAAAATTTTTGCCCAAGCTCCCTAAAATTCCTGGCTCCGCCACTGACTACAAATCAACGGATCTGTGCAAATGCACTAGTGATTTACTAGTTTAACCATGACCACCATAAAGATTTGTTACTGGTAAAAAAGGATAAAGAAAATAAGCGACGATTGAAGAAGAAAATAAGTTTCCCTTCATTGGTTAAATTAAATCAAGAGTCACGATCACTATGAGTATATACAGATGTATTAATTAACAACAGTTGGACCTTTAACAGCAAGCTACATTAACTTTTATCCTATTGATGAGTACTGAGTACTGACACACTAAAACACTACTACCTTGGGACATTCGGGAGGAGGCACAACTCAATTAAAGACAAAATGATACCTCGAATCCACGTAGCCCTCAACATCCCAGAGAAAACAACCAAAAGTCACAGCTTCTAAAACAAGTCTCCTTAAACCCCCAAAGCTAATTTTGATGTTTTCATCCTTTGAATAATCAACTGCTCCCTCAGGTGTTATAACCATTTCAGGTCTTCCAAACAATGCCTCTGTGTGCTTCTCAATGATGCTCACAGCCTCCTTAGATCTTATTGTCGCATATCTCTGGAGAGTATCAGCGTCAAAGGACATGACATAATTACGCAACCTGGTGGGCTTTATACCATAGCCAAATCCACCAGGACTGGCATCGCCGACTTGAGTAGCAGGTCTTACATCATCCATGATAGTTTGATGATCAGCACTCTGTTGTGGTACATTTGGAAGAACATTGATGGACTTCTCGAGTTGGAACCTTTCGTCAACTCGCTTAAGAAAGTAACCATACATGACTGATGCTGCATAGACCTGACCCACCCTGAGTTTACTGATTTGAGCAACAGATGATAAATCTCCAGCTCTGTTACCCAAAATTAGAGCCAAGTGGTTTTGGATCATCTCATATGCTTCTTGAGAGTGAAGGTTCTCAAGTTTCCCAACTTCATTTGCCCATGAATCTAGTGTAGCAGATAGATCTTGCGGTATCAAAGAAATATTAGCATCCATGAACTTCTGCACAACCAATGAGTACAAGATCTCTTCCAAAGCTGTCCTCCTTTCATTAGCCTTCACCTCAGCAATTCTCCTAGACAGGTGAATGGTTAGCACCAAATAAAACATGATTAACAATTTAGTAAAAACAGCAGAAAGTTATGAAGGAAAGAAACCTGTACAAAACAAGATCGGTGGAGGTAGTATGAGCAGGATCGGCGTCGCGGTCAGATTGGAGTTGGTTAAGCTGCTGATCGACGGCAGCAGGCATAAGATGGGGGTGATTGATCAAGATCTGAGAAAGAAACTGTCCGATTGGGGACTGGAAGTGAAGAGGTGCAATTTTGTTGTTGTTGTTGTGGTCGGATGTTGTTGCTCTAACTACAAATCCTCTTGTTCTCCTTCTACTAGAAATTCCAAGAGAGAGTCTCCCATGGGTATGAACTTGCTTGGAAGTGCATAATAGCTGGTAATTACAAACATGAATCATCAATGAATAAAGAATCAGTTTTGTTTGTGCATGCATCAATTCAGGTGAATTAATTAACAAAACATTTGATACCTTAGAAGTAGGAAAGTGAAGAAGGCGAGATCCGTTAGTAGGTCTTGGAACAAAGATTGATACTCCGGTGGCTGCCACGTCCATATGTGTGGATTGGATTAGCTTCGTGAACTCAACAGGACTGCCCCCAAACGTCTTATATCTCCTCTCTTCTACTTCTCGGGCCTACTATACTTTTTTATTTTGCTCTTTCCTCCTCTATTTTATTTATTTCATTTTAATCCTCTACTTTCAAATTAGATCCATTAAAAAGGAATTTCTCATTCTACCCTATTATCTTCTTTCAAATTTTTGACGAAAAGTTAAAAGAATGCATCATTTTTTTATTTTACTTAAAGATTAATTCGGAAATAAATATATGAATGAGTTATAAGATATGTTCGCATATATATTTTTGAATTTATTTTTTTTTTAATTTAGGAATTGGTTCGGAGATGCCTCTCTAAACGAGGTAAATGTATTAAAATCTCACACTAGACTCTTCCTCTTTTTATTCTTTATTTTTAGAAATATTTTTTCTTCTCATCCACACTTTGTTCCAATCAACCTTGTTCTAGTCAAGCTTGTTCCTTCTCCAACATCTTGCAGTCTATTTATTCATTCATCAACACTTTTTAGAGTAAGTTACTCATTTAACTAATTTTTTATTTTGATTAATGTATTAAGTCAAACGGGTTAATTTCAATGCATTATATTGTATTAGCATTCGCAATAGATAGTGTCTAAGAGTTGTTTATATGACTTGGGTGATTGTGGTGATTTTTAGGTGGTTAAGACAAGTTCACTAGATGATGCTAAATAAATTGAATACTCAAATCAGACAGATTGAATACTCAAAAAATTGAGAGAGTTAAGGAGTGTACTGATGAGGTCATCAAATGGAATGAAATGGAAGAAGAACTTTTGAGACAAAAATAAAAAATAAGTTGTCTTAGGCTTGGAGATGAGAATAGTGCATATTTTCTCTTCTAGTAGAACATGTGACAAAAGAGAAAATATTGAAAGCTTTGAAGGAGATTAGAGACTTAAAGACCCCTAGGATGGATGAATACAGTGTTAGGTTCTTCAAAGCCACTTGGAGCATAGTGAAACAATACTTTATAGCCACCGTGATGGAATTCTTTGTCAATGAGAAAATGTATAGTGCAATCAATAACACTTTGGTGACTCTAATTCGAAAAAAGCAATGAAGCCAAAACTATAAAGGATTACAAATCCATATCTTGCTGCACAACTATTTATAAAGTAATTTCCAAGGTTCTAACTATAAGGTTAGGCAAGGTGCTCAGAAGTATAGTCCATCAAATCCATACATCCTTTGTGCTAGGACAACACATTCATGATCATATTCTTCTTGTATATGAACTAATGAGAGGATACATCAGGAAAAGAGGTATGTGTAGATATATGCTGCAATTTGATCTTCAAAAAGCCTATGATATTATGGATTGGAAAACTTCAAAAAATATCTTAAAAGAAATTGGCTTCGCGAGTAAATTTATCATATGGATACTTCGGGTTGTTACAACAGTGTCATACATGTTCATCATAAGAGGAGAGTACACAAAGTTTTTGAAGGAAAAAAGAGCATTAAGGAGATCCCATATGTTAGGTCTGTGATTTTATGATTGACAAAAATCTTGGTAAAACATATTTCATTTGGTAAAACATGTATCACAACCAGATGTTGGGCAAGATGTTGTGACATCTTGAACAACTGGTATAGCAGATATTGTTGCCTCTAGATGTTGTTACATCTTTTCCAACTGATATAGCAAAAGATATTGTTATTTTCTTGACTGGTTTGATTTGATTTTGTGAGATTCTCTTTGATATATATCACTTATTTACGCAGGTCAAAAAGATTTTATTTGGAACAATTGATTTCATCTTCAGTTGTACATTAGTTTCTAAAATTGAATGTTGATATAATTTAGAAAACTTGTGATGTTTTGTTCCAAGATTCAAGGAGATTTTTTACAAAATTGGTGTAACCATCAGCTTGTGGATCTACAACAAATTGGGCAGAGAATTTAAGGCCCATGGACAACTGAAGAGTTTATAAAAGAAAAACTTAAACATAATGTTATAAACAACTTAACAAAAATAAGGGGAAGCTTGATATTCAAGAGTCTTAGGGTTTGGGAGTCTTTTTTGAAGATGTGAAAAAACACAATAAGGGGGGGTTGAATTGAAAAAAACTTAAATCAAAAAGGCTTAACAACACAGTATTTTTATCCTGGTTCGTTTGATCTCAAACTACTTCAGTCCACCCGTCAAGGTGATTTCGCCTCTCTCCAACGAGGTCTTAATCCACTATTCTCAAAGGATTACAACAGTTACTTTAACAACTGTTAAAGTCTTCTTGAGTACAACCACAGTCCGGTTAATCTCAAGGAACTTCTTTTACAAATGATTGAATAGGTGTGTGTTGTTGTTTTCTTACAAAACTGTATATCACAACTGTGATAATTATACAAAATAAGCTTGGAATAAAATGAATTTGCTAAAGCTTTGAATATGCGTGGTTTGGATAGCTTGGCAAAATTTGAGTGTGTACGTACGTGCTTCTTTTCACAAGCAGACCTGTTTATATAGGCAAGCATGGATACGTTGTCCATAAAGCAGGTTTTAATGATAATAACACACTTTCCTTTTGTAGAAGATCTTTGTCTGAAGAAAGCCGTTAGTATTTAATTATGTCTTGAATAATCAGTAACGCTTCAGAGTCTTCTTAGCAAAATTGTTGATAACGCTTTCAGAGTGTTGATGACATGGTAAGGATGTCTTTGATCAGAGTCAGAGTGTATTTGTTTAGGCGCAGATTCTGGTCATCAAGCTTCAGCGTATAGTCTGGTAGCTTCAGCGTATAGCACATATTTCTGATCTTCTGATGCTGATTCCATCAGAACTTCTGCATATACAAAACATAATTTCTAAGGAGCATAATTGCTCTTTGTATATATCTTTGAAATAATTTATTCTTTGTATTTTGTTATCATCAAAACTCTAATCAAGGGTTGTAGAATCAAACTATGTTCTAACAATCTCCCCCTTTTTGATGATGACAAAAACCAGATTTTTCAATTAAGAATAAAGAATAAAAAGTATAGAATTAAGAAGAAAAACTCCCCCTGAGTTGATTACTTCCCTTTAATTCCATGAGTCTTTGAGCATCAGAATCTTATTGTATCTTTCATCAGAGTTTTCTACCTGTTCAAGCTTTTCAGAAGAAAGAAATTAAGTAGATCAGAATGTTTGAGACTTATGTCTCAGTAATCCGTTATTGAAAATATCTTATTCTTTCTCCCCCTTTTTGTCAGTTATCAAAAAGAACATATAATCAGAGCCAAAAGGGTTTATATTAAAATCAGAATCAATGATACTAAGTTCAGAACAGCAGCAATGTAGAAAATATTACAGATAAATAGAATTTTAAAACAAAGGAAAATCTAAGAGGGAGAAGGAAGACGCGTGAATAAAGCTTCCAACAAGCCCTTGATCTGGATGTTGGTTTCCTCTTGTTTGGTTAACATGCTCTTGATTTCTGAAATTTTGTCATCCTGTTTATCCATCCTTTCCTGCATAATAATATCAGATCTCTTCAGTTCTTCCAGAGTCTGCCTTTCATAGGAGGAAGCTTGAGAATCTTCAGTAACTGGATGCTTCTCAGAGCATTCTGCAATGTCATCTTTTTGAACCAATTCCTCTGCAGGAATCATCTGCTCTGGAGTATTAGTCAGAATGAGATCTTCTGACTCTGGTTGAATTTTGTCTGTTGGACGATGTTCTGACCAGGGAGCATTGTCCAGAGGGAGAACTTCTTCCTTGAGCAGCTGGCTCAGAACTTGATCTTCAATTACTTTTAGTTGATTGCTGAAGTTCTGTTGAACTTGTCCGTAGCTTTGTTCTTGCATCTTATGAGTTTCAGAACATACCCATTTTCTGAAACTTGTCCAAAGATAATCTGATACAGCAGGATTAATCATCTCAAGACTAGCTTGCTTCAGGGAAGTTATCCACTTCTGCATTTCTGTTTCAAATATCAATAAACTAGTACCAACATCTGGTGTAGGTTCAGATGGTTTTGGTTTTGGAATGGCTATTTTGTGGGTTATGGCAGCAAGGCATTCAAAAACAGTTAAATCAATGACAGTTTTGGCATTATCATTTGGGTTGTTCTTTGGTGAGGGAGTGGGAGACTCTGGTATAATTATTAGACTAGTTGGGGAATTTGGTGGAGTTGATTCTAGTAAGAAGGAATTTGGGGTCTGTCCAGATTGGTGAGGGGTATACGGATGGCCAGAGGTTCAGTGATACCTGGAATGGGAATGGTATCAGAATCTGAAGTGGGTTCTTCAGTTTGGTTGGATTGAGTGTTATTTGGTTCTGGTTCACAGGATTCAGAAGGTTGGACCTCAGAAGTTTGAACTTCTGGTTGTGATAGTTCAGGTTGTGGAGAAGGCGGATGAATTTCTTGTTGAGGAGATGGAGGTAGTGGTATTTCTGGTTGTGGAGAGAGGGGAATATCTGGTTGTGGTGCTTCTGAAATGGTTTCAGAGTTTGGATTTTCTGGTATGGGAGCAGAAATATTCTGGTCAAAGGTTTCAATATCTGACAGAACTTTTGCAAGTTCTGGTTGAGTTGTTTCAATATTTGGATTGATAGGTAGGGAGTGAGTTCCTCTAAGAGTTAAAGTTTATGAGGGGTCAAATTCTATGTCAAAATCATCAAATGTTTGAGGGGTAGGAATTTCTGAATGGGTAGGAATTAGTGCAGATGTTGATACAGATAATGAATCTAAAATAGTTACTGAAGAAGGATTACCTCTCTTTTTAGCTGCTTTGGGAGTCTGATGGGATGATCCTGCTGCTGCTGCTTTTCTTTTCTTGTTCTTCTTCAGCACAACTTCTGGGGCCGCCTGTTGCAAGTCCTTGATGTTTAACCCTGGTGCAGTGCTATCTGCCTTGCATGCATCCAAGTATCTGACGATAATCTCAGGCTTGGAATCAATTTCTGAGAACATGGGAAAGTCATCCAGAGGGATTCTTCTGCTAGTGATTGTTGCAAAAGAAGTAACACTG